TATTCGGTGTCAAGAACTAGTGTGCTTGCTAGCTGTGCCGGTTAGCTAGCTTTTATCAGCGTACCATCCGTTGCACTGGAAGTCTGGAAGGCCGGACGTGTACATAGGAGCCGATATGTGGACGTGTTCAAATGGGCGGTGGCCACCAACATGCCTAATTAAATTACGTACCTACCACTTTTGATGGGTAAGCACAAATAATTCAGGAGATGGAAAATCCGAATATCTACAAATTCAAATAAACTACAATTTGAGCAAGTTTTTGCTAAATTCAGAAAAATAAAAAATTAAAATAACACACATACTTTACACGAGTCGCTTCCACGACCCATTATTAGTAGACCCAAAATTTCGGAAATTCATGTCCAAAATTGTGAACGCGATTTGCAGGCTAGCTTGCAGCTAGCTTTTTGACTAGACGATTTTCCAGAATCTGCTTTCGAATGATCGACTGACTAAAATCACGTATGTATAAACCGTAAGCAGGCCACGGCCGGTGCATGAAGGCATTAGTTTGACCGTTGACCCAAATTATGTTGCTAGTCGTAGTCCAAATTAGTTATAGCCGCACGGAGCTAGAAGCCGGCACCGACTGTGCTGTCGTACTATATGAGAGGCCTAGATTGATCTAGTAACCCTAATTAAGCTCGAGAGAGAGATGATGGAGGTGGCGAGATTGAGGGCAACACATAAGGGCAGATAGCGAGAGAGCGACTAAGAGGGAGCTGCAAGCCACGGGTGAGTTTGGCTCAACTTGGCGGTTCGTTTGGAAGGTCGTCGTTGTCAATTTTTGCAGTAGTGACAATAAAATATCACTAGCTAATAGAGATAAAAATATATTAGTAGTAAAAAGTAATTTTTGTAGACACCCTTGTTTTAATTTTACAGGATGGGTTAAGAAATTCCACTAATAATACTTACAAGGTGGTCCTATGCTTTTAAAACACTCGAGAAATTTGATTCTGACTAATTGTTGTATAAGAGAACTGCATGTGAAATGCATGTGAAAATAAGGTTATTTTTTATGTGCTTTTCTTAGGTGACCTCCTATGAAAAACATGATTTTTACATACAGTTTCCTATAAGAGAGCTCCTATTTAGCTATTTTTGTAGATGGTCTTCTTTTGAACTTGTGGTGAAAAATAGGTGATATAATAAAAATCAACGGTTGATGTGTATAAGTCCCATCCTAGCTGCATTCTCCTAACATCACCTCCATGTCCTTAGAGAGACCACCGATCCCCATCTCCTCCCCAGCACTGCACGGTCTCATGTCCATCTGCTCCACCCGGCCAACACTCTCTCCTAGCCAGTGACAGCGCCGTAGACCCCTACACAAACACCACCCCAGTCAGTGCAACGGTATTGCTACCACCACTGCCATGAGCTCGTGCCATCGGGATCTGACCGCCCTAGCTAGCCTCCAGCCCTCAACCATGCCACCGGCTGCGACAGGCCTCGGTACAGTGGTGGCAGGCCTAATGGCTCCATATATATCTAACAAATTAAAATAAGAATAGGCAAACCACATCTTAGAAACATACCTATATATTAAAAAAATTACATAGCTTAGTTAATTAAAAAGTTTAAAAATAATTGTTGTCTCTACACGCCAACTGTAAACTCGCACAGTTATTTTCACCGTTAGAATAGGATATATAACCCTTGTATGCTAGGTCAGGATTCCACCACTACACTTATCAATAATATATACTCATAATATTGTATAAACAATTTAGCAAGTGGCCGGCTACTAGGCCTATTTATTTATTACTGATTAGGATACCGATTCTACCTCAGTTTTCATTAGCATAGTTAATTTTCAAACTTTTAGAACGTGTGTTAGTGCGAAAACTTTTTATAGTATAAAACTTGCTCTAAAATATCAATACATTTTTAAGTTTGTAATAATTAAAAATAATTAATATTGATATAATGATTTTCTTGTTTTGTGTGCCCTTACTTAATCTTAATCTTCATTAATGTCAACCATCCCGTGTTCATTTCTAATAAAGATGGTAATGAAGTTAAGGCACGAAAAAAAAATCATTAGCGTATCATTAATTGAGTTTTAATTATTACTACCTCCATCCCATATAAATTGTATTTGTAGGTTGTTTAGCATATATTAAGGTTGAGAAGAAAGATTATAATGCTCCTTATTAAATGATGTAAAGTTAAAAGTGGAATGATAGTTAAGGGTAAAAGAGAAAGAAAGTTGGACAATAAGTGATTAATAGGACCATTAGTACTCTATTGTGATAATTATTTTAAAACAAATTCAAATCCTAGAAATACAATTACTATGGGACAGAGCCAGAGGTAGTACAAACTTAAAAAGTATATTTATTTCGTATTTTAAAGTAACTTATAAGTTTTCGCACGACACCATTTAGTAGTACTAAGAGAAACCGAGATAAAAATTTCAATCATACGGGGCCTAAATCCTGAACGAGTTCGATTAACCTGCTCCGATCGTGCGATTGACATTTTGTGAGATGAAGTACGGGCGCCGTACGATCGGGCCGGCGCATCGACCATCGTTAGCTAAGCTAAGAGCGCGTGAGATTCTTCTTCCTTCGTTTTCTTCTTTTCTTTTCTTTTATTATATATGCATGCATGTATAGATCGATCGTTCTTCTTTCGGTTAATTTGGACATGGTCGGTGCTTGCCGAATCTTCATGTGCAGTACACGTGCTCACCACCACTAATGATGAACAAATTACTACTACCTCCGTTTCGAAATGTCTGACGCCGTTGACTTTTTAGTACATGTTTGACCGTTCGTTTTATTCAAAAAATTTAAGTAGTTATTAATTCTTTTCCTATCATTTGATTCATTGTTAAATATATTTTTATGTAGGCATATAATTTTACATATTTCACAAAAGTTTTTGAATAAGACGAACGGTTAAACATGTCCTAAAATGTCAACGGTGTCAAACATTTTGAAACGGAGGGAGAATTATATTTCATCCTTTTCCGTCTTCGCCAATCCTACGTACGGATCGATCCGGTCCACTGCGCATCTCACTGGTTAAAAAAAATGCACTGGATGCATATATGCGCGTGTGCACTAGTGTTAATTACATCAGGAATACTGTTTTAGAAAAAAGGATAAATATAGCAAGCATGTTCAATAATCTAAAAACCTAAGAGTAATTTTTTTAAATATAAAACCTACAAATTATAATTCCACATGTTCAGAAATATTGGGCCTGTTCGGCAGACGAGGGCTGCAGCCGCTCCTATCTTTATGCTTGTTGGACTATTCTGGTTAGCTGTGATATAGTCGTAACCCCGGCAAAAACGTTGTTGACAAGCATTTTTAAACTTCGACCATAGTTAGACTATGGTGATTGAAATGGAAGCTTTTTAAGTATTTATAATCTTTTAAAAAATCTAAGTGGTCAAAGTTTAAATATAAAAAGTGTTTGGTAATAACGGTTGGACAACATAGTGAGTCTCAATTGAATAAAAAAGCGTTTTATTGTGGCAAAATCACCACGGTGTGTTACTTAAAAGACAAATTTTAGGGTACCTGAGTATATATCCAGGTACTTTCTTAAATACCGTAATTCTGTAAAACTATTTTATTTAAGAATATATAGCAAAAACGCACAATTATTATTAATCTGGCTAGTTAAGATATTGATGTACATGTACAATGACCGGGTGGTGACCTAGACAGCAGCTCGACAAAATCTAAAAGAAAAGGACAAGTAGACGAATACGGGCAGCATGTGGGGAGCAGTGCCAGACGCAGCAACGGACGGCCAGATGTGCCTCGATCCCCGATCCGACGGCCACCATCGCTTTGGCGGTTGGTCGCCTCGCACATGCCCGCAGCGAGAGAGAGAGAGATTCCCGCCACGCCCGGGAAATCGCGGCAGCCACACGAGAGATCGCGGCGTGGTTGAGCCACCCGTGTCAATTCCATGTGGGGCCATCGGGTTATGTGGGTCCCACTGTCAGTGGCGGCGTCGCTGTCGTGCGATCATATGATTGGGGGTTGGATGGTGGTCATGGGCGGTCGGGTCCAGAGGGTGACGTGATGACAGGCCGTACTTGGTCGGTGCTCTTATTGGTTTTTTGATCGGAAAAAATGGAGAATATGTATATGTGCAACTGCTGCAAGTTGGGACAAGTTGTTTCTGCATGGAGACCCATGAATGTTTTTCTTCATTTGATTACTCAAATTTGTGCATTTGGATTAGATTTTATTTTCCTATTTTTTATCTTGTAAAATAATATCATCTCCGATCTCAAATAATCAATATTCGCTATTCAAGTTAAAACTTTAATATTTTCCCAAAAAAAAAAACTTCATGTGCTTAGAATATGTCGTACTATTGAAGTATGTGGTGTCGTAAACAAATCTAGCCAAACAATTTTAATTCATTATAATATAATCATATGGAAGTAATTTGTGGTCAAAGTGAGCTGGCCATATGCAAAATTAACAATTATTTGAAAATAAAGATATTAATATAAATTTACAAGTGAATTTGTTTGCATGATATTAATCATGATGTCTATCATATCATGGCTTTCTTTTCACCTAAATATATGTGTAATCAAACCATCTCGAGTTTAAGAGACTCCAGCTGTTTCCTTAGAAACAATATATCTGTTAATTTGCGTAAAAAAAAACCGTTCTGCAGTTTTAGTTCATCAATATAATTAATTTTGAAGAGCAGAACTTTTTAGTGTCCGCATTTGTAGTGTGTTTATCGAAAAAATATCTTTAAATAATTAGTTTTGAAGAGAAGAATTCCTAATGAACCTATGCCATTGATGCGTCAAAAAATAATTAGGCTAGTACAGCGGGTGCAGAAGAAAAGAATAACAACTTGGGATTAGAGAATCACATGTGCAAAGCACTTGCTAATACCAATAAATTAGCATAAAATTAAGCAAGATGTCGACTTGGAAAGTCAACTGTACCACCCTCCTCTAAGATCTCTACATAAATAGGCAGCAAAGGCATCACCTCCTCCGAGCCCGAGCCCTTGCCCTTGCCCCGGAGGCCTGTGAGAGGCGGGTTAATTAGCAGCTTCTTAATTAATTAGCTACTAATTAAATTCCCCTCTGCCTTTTTAATTACCCTACTCTTCTCTCTTCCTCTCTAGCGCCTTTCCATCAGATCAAAGTTTGAGAAATTTCCATCACTAATAATCACCTTTTATTTTGATCAAACAATCCACATCCTTTGATCTCCTCTCCTGCAATTTTTTCTTCTTTTTTGCAAGTGTTTTTGCTCTGTTCATCATCAAGTGATCATATCAACACGTTCTTGATGCAGAGTTTCCACAACTAGCTTTGCCTCTTGATTTCTTGGCTTCAGATCGATCCATCCATCGATGGAGAACGTCCTCCTCATCGGCCAAGTCACCGGCGGCGGCTTCGACGACTACTTCGGCCGGCGGCTCGCCGTGGCGCCGCCGCCACCGCCTCGTAGAAGCATCCAGGGCAGCTTCACTTTTGCTGCTCCATCTCCTCCTCCGTTTCAGTACACGACTTACGAGGCGGCGTCGCTGTACTCCTCGCTCTCTCTCCCACTACACCTGCCTTACACCTACTACGCGGCGGCGGCGGCGGCGTCGGCTCCGGCGACGGCGACGCCTCTCCTCCCTCGCATGCTGCCGCCTCTGCCGCCGTCAGCCACGGTTGTGAGGAGGAGGATTAAGAAGCCGAGGACGCCGAGGTCGGGGGAGGGGCAGGCGAGGGCGCCGCAGCGGAGGAGGCCGCTGGAGAGGGCGGCGCCGCTGCCGCCGCCGGCGGCGGTGGCGGAGGCGCTCGACGACCTGGAGCGGGAGGTGACGCGGGGGTTCGTGGAGGACCTCCTGCACGCGCTGGCGCCGCCGCCCAGCAGCCTGCCGCTGCCCACCTTCTCCCTCGTCAGGGCCGCCGCCGCAAAGGCCGCCGCCTCCTGCGCCGTGTAGAACGCCGTCGGCGAGGGAAGGACGTCCACGCCGGCGTTGACCGCCGCCGCCGCCGCCGCCTCATTCGCACCGATATTTATGCATGCGAGATTTGCCGGCGGTGGTGGTTTTTACTATTATTCATGTTTTTAATTTCTGGTGTCTCTCTATTTTTCCATTTCTTTCTCCAAGACTTTTTTTTCTTTGGATGGAAGAAATGGTGAAAAAAAAAGTGTGTATTTTTTCTTGAATTTATTTTCTATCATTTTGAGGGGTTGTGAGGCAATTAAGTAAACCCATCTTGGTAATGGCTAAGGCCTAAGGCTAATTAAGGGTTTACATAGTAGTAATATTCACTGGAATTAGTGAAAAGTTCTTGATGGGGTGTGTTTTTTATGACCTTTTATCAAGATATATTGATCGATAAATTGGGGTATTTTATATGCTTATTAATTATGTGATCACCCTGGTTGATTCATCTGTCCCATGTGCTTTGCAATATCTTGCCCTTAGGCCATGTTCTTTTCTCCAACAAAAGTTGGATTGAATTTTGGATACTCGTGACACGCTTTTCAAACTGCTAAACGGTATGTTTCGTGTGAAAACTTTCTATATAAAAGTTGTTCTAAAATATCAGATTAATCTATTTTCAAGTTTGGAATAATTAAAACTCAATTAACCATACGTTATTACAACATCGTTTTGCATAAAACACTTAATCTTCATCTTCAACCTCATTAAGAAATTATGGTTCCATTTAGCACAGCTTCAAATCCAAAATCCATGGTAGATTTGAAGTTTGTAAGGTCTTTTACAGGTACCAGGAGGTACTAATATTTTTAGTGTAAATTTTGGTACCTTCTAACGTGGAGGTACTGAGATACCAAATTTTACACTGGAAAATTAATGGGCTGTCAAAAAAATTAATGGGCCGTCAAAAAAATAATGGGCCGTTTAAAAATATTTGTTGACGTTACCTGCCACGTCATCAGTGACATGTCATCACACATGTGTCAACGACCACGTCATCTGCCATGTTGGCCGCCATGTCTCAACTATCTGTGACGTTTAATTTTGTCACAAAGGTTGGGCCGGGGCTGGACTACATGAGCCCAAAAGTGTTTATGACGGTTAAAAAAACATCATAGATTGTGCTGATCCGTGACGATTTCAGAGAAAACGTCGGCAGATTTAATCTGTGACTCTCAATGGATGACGATAAGTAGAATCGTCACGGACAAATTTATGTGACGAATTTTCAGGGATCTATGACGAATTTTTTTTGTCATAGATTAAATAGATTCTTGTATATCGGACAGATCTTTTCGCCTGCTACGCACCACGAATATATGACATCAACCCGCAGTATATATCGCGCCCGGATATGGCCATGATAAATGTCCCATGCATATAGATACATTTAGATTCGTTTTCGGTAGTGATGGAGAGCAGCGACAGCAATGACGTGAGGGCTCGCTCGACATCGACAACGCCTTCGCGTATAGCGAGAGTGCTCCCCCCGGCCTGCAGTACAGCATCGCTGTTGGAGGGCCAAGCTAGCATCCGGCGCCGGAGGTCAGTAGCTTATCCGCCCATGGCGCCGGAGGAGACCCCTCTTGCCGCCGCTGCTGCGGACGGTGCCAGACATGATATGCTGCACCGTCGGACACGCCCAGGCTGCTGGACCTCGTCGTGATGATGATCACAAGGCGTGTCTATTACGAGGTATAGGGTATAGCTCCATCACTAAAGTCTACAGGCATTATCTTGTTAATTAGCTACCCACTTGATGGATGCATGCTTGTTTATCTGCTACCTTCAGACGGTGGCGGCAACGAGCTCTCGGCTCTCGCTATCCTTGACGACGACGCTGCACTCGGGGCTCACCCGGATCAGCGGCGCCGCATACTGCTGCAGCGAAGCAAACAACTGGCTCTCGTCGCCGTCGATGATCTTCAGCAGCGACCGACGGTGGCTGCTTCGTGAATCCCACCATGTTTAATCCTACACGATGGTGTGGCGGGGCGGTCGGTCGATGTATGTGGACTTGCGGAGGCGTCATCGACGTCGAGAGATGCATGTCGTCGATCCCCATCACTGTCGAGGCGCGTGACTCGTCGCCGCCGCACGAGCCAAAACGCTATTGTTCACGCGGATTGGGCCAAAGATTAGCTTGGTCGCCCAATTAAACGGTAAACCCTGGTGCAATCTGTAAAGGATGGTAAAAAAAGATGGTGTGATATGAAAACTTAGACTTTGCCCTGGTGCAAGTTGCCACTTTGGTAAATATACATGGACCAAAGTGGCATTTACTTTTTTTTCTAACTAGGATGACACGTTAGCGAAACCGGACATCTATACTGCTATGGGACCTAAATTGCACGGTTTCGTATAGTTTAATGGTAGAGATTTCTGGTATCGAGGATAAGAGATGTCAAATAAACTCGGTGTAAAGTTGAGGAATGGCTGGTGAACTTATTCCTTTGCTAGAACGTGGATTGGACTAAGTTTGGGCCTCTTACCTTAGCAGGCCTGTCGCTAGCAAGTACTAATTGGCCGGCCTCACTTGATTTTGAGAAGGCAACATATCATTGCCATCCGTATTTAAATACCGGCCCATTAGGCCCACAGTAGCCGACCCATATCCCTAGGCCCTAGCTCCTCTTCTTCAATTCTTTTTTTAATAAGGGAATAAGTTCAATTTATGTCTTTCGATTTAATTGTCGCCGAGTCTGAAATTCGTCCCTGAACCGAAATAACTAATATAGCACAACCCCCAACTCAAAATACCGTGTTAACTTTGGCCTCTCGGTAGTATAGTTGTCGGTTTTGACTGATGTGGAGTGTGGGACCCACGTAGGCCTCACATACCAGTGGCCAACTCTTATTCCTCTCTAAACGTCGACCCGTTCCACCACTGTGTTGTTAACTTCCAAACCTAACCATCGTCGCACCCTCCCCTTTCCTTCACCCACCACTACAAAGGCCGGCATCATGATCCCCTCCAAGCCTTTCGTTGGCGACAATCAGTCGTCGGCGACACTGTCTTCGTCACCATGCCACCCTCCTACACCCCCACCGCCCGCCTTCGCCGCCTCGTCCTCTTCCTCGCGGCCCTCTCACTCCTTTCACCCAAACCCTGGCCTCATCCGCACGGCCTCGGAGGCCGAGGTCTCCAATCACTAGGCTACATACCCCGTGTCAGACAGGGGGAACAAGGCCCCGCTGTGCCCCGTGCGACGCTTCCGCCTGGACCCGGTCTGCGGCGCTGACGGGGTCACATATTGGTGTTGCTACCCAGAGGCCGCCTGTGCTGGCACACGCGTGCGGCATGGCGCCGGTACTGCAAGGGTGGGGCTGGCTCAACGCCCGTCTCCGGGCATGTGCTACTGGCTGTTTATGCTCGACACTACAATCATGCTTGTCTTCCTCTGATGTGTGCACCCTGCATGGCCTCCCATACCCTGGGCACGACAACATGGTGGGTGTTCGCACCCTAGAATAGTCTCGTGTTGCGGCCAAGCACCTCCCTAGGTGAGTACCCTGTGAGCAAGATGAGGCTCTTGGAGGCGTAAACGATGGGGTGGCCCGGCATGGCTGGGTCAGTGAGGAGGCATCTCCCCGAGAGCTCGTCCAGTGCCTCTTCCACCGAGTCTGATCAGTACCGCTCCGTCGGCGAAGCCGTCAACCTCCCCTCCTTCATGTCCTCAAGAGAAGATGGAGAAGAGGGAGAAGAATTGGCCACTAACATGTAGGACCCACATGGGTCCCACTCGCCACGTCAACCAAAATCGGCAATTAAACTGCTGAGAGACCAAAATTTACATGGTATTGTTCGTTGGAAGATGCCGGGATGGGATATTTCGGTTTAGGGACGAAGTTCGGATTCAACGACAAATTGAGAGACCTAAAGTGAACTTATTGTTTTAAGTACTCTGATTGGCACAACTCCGTTTTCGAAATTTCTTTTAAACTAAATATTTCCATCTCTACAAATCCATAATCTAAATCTTTGAAACATTTAGATTAAAAATTTTGTTTCTATTTTAAATAAAATATAAAATTTTAAACCTTTAATACATAACATACAAACTTCAAATCCAATGCGGATGAACCTGAGGTTGATGTCGTCTTGTTCGATCACAGGACAGTCCATTCGGTCATGTGGACAACTCTTAAAGGAGGAAATGAAGAATACAGTATAAGCATTGGCTGGCCGGCATAACGGGACCATCGGTCTGAAGAAATAAAATGAAACACAGCAAATACTATATTGGATTATATTACTACAGTATCACGAGGTTCACGTAGGAGCACGCAATTGTAATTAAAATTTTATTTGAGCTTTTCTTTTCTTCGATCGAGGCCATAATAAGCCAATCTGGGCTCATAATTCTGCGTGAAATATGACTGAAGTGTGGTTGAGGTCGGAGGATGCATACACGCACACTCACCAAATTAAACAAAAATACCTAAAAAAAAACTTCTGGTGTCAAAGTACTCCCTACATCTGTTCAATGACTTACAATAGCTAAAAACGAAAAAAAATAATCTAATATTAAAGAGGCCTAATGAACCACTCTATAACTAAACTATTTTACAGACAAATTTAATTACACTCTTTTAGGATAAATTTTTAGGCTAGAGACGGAGAGATTATAACTAATTACTGTCTTTTCGAACCCTTCGTTTTGGGCATAGCTAGGCTTACAAAATTATCCCACTGTTAATTTTTAAGCTGACCACGAGTCCACGACCAAACAAGCCTATTGGCTTTTGTACACGTGCATTCTGGCGTATAGTTCAGTGATAAGAGTTAAAATAGCTGTCATGCATACCTTTGAGACTGATATGGTGATGTTTAATTATGTGCAATTTTGCATAGTTAACCAAGCTGTCATAAACCTGATACTGACACTGGTGGAGAAACCCTTTGTAGTCCCGGTTCGTAACCCCCTTTAGTCCCGGTTTCCAAACCGGGAGTACCAATCCGGGACTAAAGATCGCTATCTTTAGTCCCGGGTGAAATAACCGGGAGTAAAGATCGATCTTTAGTCCCGGTTGGTGTTACCAACCGGGACTAAAGATCGAGCTGACCTTTTTTTTTTGGCATGGCCCTGTTGCTACATGGTTTATATGCCCGGGCACCATTGTTGAAATTGAGTATATACCCAATTCAAATGAGTATGAAACTTTTTCAATTACTTAGGTATTAACATTAACTACTTTACTAACTAGTTTAAAGCAAGTTTGAACTGAATTTGAACTTGTTTTTGTTAGATTTTGATTCTAGGTATATAGCATCCATACATATAATTAGTTAGGTATGTAATTATGGATTGGGAAATAAAGTTAAATTTGAGTTGTTTTGTTGATAAGTATAGGTATGAATCAAATTATTATAACTAGGTATATACTCACAATTTGAAAATTTTGAAAAATTTGAGTAATTTTGTGCATTAGATACCATGGTGCCCG